GAAAGGGAGATAAAACTGTAATACCCAGGTGTGGATGGAGAACCAGGAAGACGGATAGCACATGAGCATGAGTGTCTCCCAAGGTACAGCCGGCGAATCAATAGCAACATTGGGCTTTTCATATTGCACGTATATAAATTATCGTCATGTCAGCACCAACCAAGCAGAACCGGCACTGATTATAATTGCACAAATGTCTGGGTTAGCATTGAGTGTGCGTTTCCTCCACGGACCCCAGGCGATAAACATGTTTAGAAGGCGTGTCTTGTGTCTTGTAGGGGGAGCTCCTTCGTCAGCTGATGTAAATTGAAAGGGTCTTATTATCTCCCATGTGTTCGCAATGAAAAATAATGGCTTCCACAGAGAGATGAATTGACTCGGCAGTGCTAACAGGTAAAGCTAGCGGTGGGCCGGCGCTATGTGAAAAGGCAGCGATGTGAAACTCATTCCAGATCAGTACAATGGTTCGTTATGAGGTTTTGATGGGAGCATGCAGGGATAACAAGGACGAGTATTAAATTATGAATGTTGCGTTATTGTTCTCAGATTATGAGTCAAGTGCAAAGGTGGGACTGCTGGTAATAACGCAAGTAACTGATATCTTTTTAGTATGTTTAAACATTACACCAACCTATTTTTAACAAAACAAAAACAAAACGTCCATGAAGAATTGAAGTGACTCTGTTCAAAAAACCCTTTGCCGTACGATTATGGTAGAGAGATAGTTTATTTGTGCAACAGTGTGGGAATTTCAGTGTTGCTTCAGTAGTTACAGTAGGAATGAGGAGCTTAAATGATAAATGAACAATGCTAAAATAAAATACAATCTCTAACTTTAGCATGATAAGAAAGCAAGTATAAAACTCAACCTTTAGCAGAATGAAGAAGGAAGAATTAAGTATAAAATCTCTGACTTTAGCATTAATAAAATAAAAAAAATCTCTAAACTAAATAAAGTGTAAAATAAACTATTTCTTCAAACTCAAAACTTGCCAACATTTTCTATGGTAAGTATGAAGGATGACGTTGCAGAATGTTGGATTTGACAGGATATACGAGTTTTAACAAATTTGTTGAAACAAATAGCTTTCTAGTATGTTTAAACACTTCACCTAACAATCTTTTTAACAAACAAACAAAAACAAAACAATCCATGAAAAATTGAAATGAATTTGTTCATCTTTTCGACGTAATTTTAAGGTTAACAGATCGTTTATCCGTCCAACAGTTGGGGAATTTCATTGTTGCATTACTAGTTACAGAACATTAGGAATGAGGAGCACACAACATAAGATTAATGAATCACTCTATTCTAAAATAAAATAAAATCTCAAACTTAGCATAATGAAAAAGCAACAATTAAGTATAAAATCTCTGACTTTAGCATAAATAAAAAATCTTTTTAAAAAAATCTAAGAAAATGAACCAAGAAAAGTGTAAAATGTCTTTGAACTTAAAACTTGCCTTCATTATCTATTGTAAATATAAAGGATGGTGTCGCCAAGGTTGGATTTGACAGGAAATAAGAGTTATACATCATTAGTGCAACAATTAGAGGTAGATTAAGTATAAAATCTCTACTTTTGGAATAGTTAAAAGCAAGTATTAAGTGCTGTGAATTCTAGTAAAATTTGTCAATGTTTAAGTATGTGGCCTCATGAAACATTTGTCTTGGCACATTTGTAAGGCTAAATATATACACATATATTTATTGATCGTATAGATGGAGCTTTGAAACATGTGCCCGCCAATTTGTGAAAGTCTTGAGCTTGGCAGTCCAATCCCAGTTCCAAACAGGCGATTTCTGCATGGCGCTAACATAGAATACATCTCGTCACCATCTGTGTTTCCATGTTTAACACTGTTTTGGAACTCACCACCATAACTTATATGACTTATGTCCTTGCTAAACGCATAAACTTTTCACTCACAAAATTAGAAATAGCCTTGGGACATGCAAACAGTTTCCGTAGATCCATAGTCAGCGAGAATGGCATTGACAAAGTTGGACCTGGTCTTTTGGGTCCAGTCCAGACAGCTCTGAGGCAGGCATTATGGCGTTGATGAATGTTGGTCAGCAGTTGGCTCAAGACGGCAAAGTGTCCCCACAGATGATCACAGTAATGCTTTGAAAATGAAATATCCCAAACAGGCCGTTCTTGCACTTTTTTGCTCAAAAGTGGACCCCTGAGGCAAGTTGGAAGGAATGAACCGAACCTCCCACCTCTGCGATAAAGGTATCACGCTCAGAAGCCTTATTATGGGATTAGAGCAATGAAAGAATGGACCTACGTACCTTTTCATGGTTTGAAATTGCCAAATATGTTATACATACCATAGAAATACGGTCTTTGAAAGCATCCCTGTTTGAATTGACGGTCTCTAGACTTATAATTATTTTTAACTGGGACAAACACCATGCTAAATTGCCTTTTCTTAATTAAGCTTTTAACATGTTACAATATTGTTCCCTCATCAAAACCACTTCTGTCCTAAAGTTCATGTCTCACCGATAAAAAACAGTACGATGATGCAAAAGTGTTCCACCTTTGTTATGTTTTGGTACAGTGCAGCTGAATTTCCATATTTTACAATAATTTATCTATTTATTTTGTTAAATTTCTTGTGTAATTTTGAAAGTTTTAACGGTTTTAATCTTTTGTGTGATTTTAATGTTTTAATTGTGATTCTGGTGTTTGTTTTATGTGATGATTTGTGATGTGGACTGTGAAGCGCTTTGTGTTGCCCTGTGTATGAAAGGCGCTCTACAAATACACTTTGATTGATTGATTGATTGATCACATGGTTGTGTTTTTAGCTGGTAAAAACAACTCTTCACAGAAAGCAGAAAGCATTTAAACCTTCATAATTTTACACCATATATTTTCTACTGATGATATAATGTCATATTCTAAAACATGAAATGACAAAGTATTTAGTCTTATTACCATTTTAACTGCCAAAATAATGCATCATATTTCTTCTTTGACACAGGAAATTCCAGAATTCTGAAACTACAAAAACTCCCACTTTGACGGCTTCCATTCAAACCAATAGAATTCTGAAAAAAAACGAGCTAAAACTGTTAAATAAAGCTTAAATTAAAGGAAAAAAACTGTTTGCTGACTACTAAATGCTAACTGCTGGCCAGTTAACAGCGTTTTGCTATGGTAACTAGGACTTGCTCTAAGATGAGATTCCTCAGGACCAGTCCAGGGCCTTGAGAAAAGTGCCAACGAATGTTTGTTGCAAAAGACCAAAAATGGCTACATTTTAATTTTACTTTAAATGAATGGAAGTTAAAGGTAGAACTCATAACTTCACAATATATGAAGACCGAAAAAGTACATAAGTAATTACACTTCAAAAACCTAAAGCCGTCAAGTTGACTGTTCTGGGACTTCTAGTGTTAAGGTTATTTTTTTAACATTGCAGCTCAGTTTTGAAAAGTTGGGTCCAAGACTTCGCTTGAGTCTGTACGCCTTGTCGAGATGATCAGCTCAATTCAACAGAGATCAACTTAACCAAATCTCCTAAAGACGCTGACGCTTAGTTTTCTGCCGTCTACCCCATTTCACGCCACACAATCCTTTCCACTCACAAGCCACAGCTATAGTCTCTGGGGATAAAGGACTATACATGAAACTGTAGTCACTAAATACATTGAAATTGGACTTTAATGTAGCTGCCCTCCAAGCTGCTGTGTTTGAGCGAATGTGCGAGCGGATGTCTTGACCCAAATTTGAACATCATTAACATGCTTTACACACCATTAACTAAAGCTGGATAAACAGTAGACTACAGGAGTTTTTAGTCTCATGAGATTTTAAGCCGTGTCACTCAATGATTAGACCACACACATGAGGACGTTCTGAAATTATGTTTAGTCTCCAGTGTTGGGCACGTTACTTTGAAAAAGTAATTAGTTATAGTTACTAGTTACTTCTCCCAAAAAGTAACTGAGTTACTAACGGAGTTACTCCACTATAAAAGTAACTAGTTACCAGTAAAAGTAACTATTGCGTTACTTTTTCGTTTTGTTCTGGAACATAATGTGCACCCGACGTGCGCATTTTTACCTTTAACAGTGCCAATATTTCCATCTAGAAAAGGCTGTTTTGCTGCTGAAGTCCTGTTCACTCTTCATCTCTCACTGTGCTGTAAGCACTAAACACCAACACCCGCCACTGTGAATGTGGAAACACCGGTGACGAGCGGTGAGGCTGGTGAAGAACTGACTTCAGTCCAATCAGAAGAACATATACATCATATAAATCAAGTGGACAATTTGTTTGGCTACAGCAAAATATGTTTTATGCCCGCATTGTTTGTTCATACAAAACGCAAAATTAATAGTTACCTAATGTAACTTAAGTTCTACGAATAGGTGCGTAGTCCCTTAGGACTTCGCTAGTGGGATATCACTCGTGACCCCCAGGTCACACGCCAGAGAGATCAAAATAATTTGCTCCAATCACCAGCCACCTTCCTCTATAAATGCCCCTGCACAAGGCCGCACCCCCTCTTGAACTCTGCCAAGCCGGGCTGGCCTGACAGGCTCGTAGCTAAGGGACTACGCACCTATTCGTAGAACTTAAGTTACATTAGGTAACTATTAATTCTACGTCATTGTGCTACGTCCCTTGGGACTTCGCTAGTGGGACACAACGCGGAGGCCGTAGGAACATGTACTCCCAGCAGGCCAGCGAAGGGTGATTGGAGCTCCGCCCGAGCAAGACCCTCACACCGTGAGAGGACTCAGGGCAGAAGAAACAAAGCGTGTTACAGGGCCACTCCTACCAAGGATGCCCCCACGTAACACAGATCGTAGGTCATCCGTAGTCCCAGGACGCCTCTCCCAAGAGCTCCTGACGTGGACTACCAGACCGACCAAACACACATATATGTACCGCACCTGTAGGATGCCTCTCCCAAGAGCTCCTGAACCAGGGCGGAAAGAAACCGAAGGCCCCCTCAGAGGAGGGACCTAACGGTCTAACTCAGTCCGCTGCACTCAGCACGGAATGGGCCACCGACCGGTCCGACACATCCAAAAGATAAGACCGGACGAAAGAGGAGGACGACGCCCAAGAAGCCGCACGGCAGACGTCCTCGACCGACGCCCCCCTGAGAAGGGCCGTAGAGGCCGCCATCCCACGCGTGGAATGCGACCTGAAGCCCACCGGGGGGGCCAGACCCTGCGACTGATACGCCCGCCGCACAGCCGTGGCGACCCAGTGCGCCAGCCGCTGAGCCGACAGCGGGGCGCCCCTGTTCTTGGGGCCCAGACACACAAACAGCTGACCACCCAACCTGAATGACGACGTCATGGCCAGGTAATGCCTCAGCATTCTGACAGGACACAGAAGGTGCCGCCGCTCCTCCTCGGGGGAGGCATGCGGTGGCGGATAGAAAGCCCTAATCCTGATGACTCTCGACCTAAAGGCCGACGTGATGACCTTGGGGAGAAAAGCCGGATTGGGCCACAATTCCACCATGCCGTCGCCCTCTCCAAAGGACAGGCAAGACGCATGGACCGAGAGCGCACACAAATCGCCCGCCCTCTTAGCAGACGCCAACGCCAACAAGAGGGCCGTCTTAAAAGCGACACACTCGGGACTCGCTTCCGCCGCCGGTTCAAAAGGCGGACCCGACAGCCCCCTAAGGACCACCCTGAGGTCCCAAACCGGGGGCGTTCTCTGGAGCGGGGGCCTCCTCCTGCGCGCCCCCCCGCAGAAAACGTTTAACCAACGGATGAGAGCGGGCTGTGAACCCCCCGAATCCGTCGTGACCCGAAGTAATGGCTGCCGCGAACACCGCCAAGGTGGCGACAGCCCTCCCCTTGTCAAAGAGCTCCTGTAGGAATCCCAGGACCCCCTCCAGCGGGCAACGCCTGGGATCCCAGGAACGGGAACCGCACCAGACACTGAAGAGCCTCCACCTCACAGGCCCTCACAGTGGACGGCGCCCTCGCCCCCTGAATGGTCTCCACCACCGCAGGGGGAAGACCCAGGTCTACGAGGTTCCGCCTCTCAGCCTCCAAACCCAGAGCCTGCGGCCGATTATCGGGCGTGAAAACAGGGCTCCTCCCCCCTGGACTAGAGCCCCCGGCTCGTCCGGGAGGGCCCAGGGCTCCATCACCGCCATGCCCCTCAGGAAGGGGAACCACCGGGCATGCGGACTGTCCGGAGCCACCAGGAACACCGACCTCCTCTCCTGTTCGATCCTCCGCAGCAGGACCGGCAGGAGACGCACCGGTGGGAAAGTGTACAGCAGGCCGCCTGGCCAGGGGTAATGAGCCAGAGCGTCCACGCCTAAGGGCAGCTCGTCCGCGGCCCTTAAGGCGAACCAGGACGGGCACTGTGCGTTCTCTGCACTGGCGAAAAGTGCACTGGACGGCCGAACCTCCGCCAGATCTCCGCAGCTACCCGCGGGGCCAGGCCCCACTCGTCCTGGAGTGAGCCCCCCCTGGACATCCTGTCGGCCCCCACGTTCCGGACCCCCGGGTCGTGGCGCGCCCTGAGAGACAGGAGGTGAAGCGCCGCCCACAGCAGCGTCACCGTCGCCATGCGATGGAGAGCGGGGGACCTGGTGCCCCCCTGCCTGTTCAGATAGGAGACCACTGTGGTGTTGTCTGAGCGCACCATCACGTGTCTCCCCTGCAGCTGAGGAGCAAAGTGCAGCAGTACTCTGTGCACTGCCTCCATCTCCAGCAGGGCGCACGGCGCAGGCCAGAGTCACTCCGTCCCGCAATAGACCCGGAGTGAGCCAGAACCTGATGTCCGATGCTGCCACTTGGGGAACCCAGATCAGCCTCCCCCCGTCCCGGGAGGGGTGAAGCCTGAGGCGCGAGAACCACCTCTGAAAATTCCTCATGTGGAGCAGGCCTAGCCGCACCACAGCATGAGCCGCCGCCATCATTCCCAGCAGGGACCTGAGGCGCCCTAGCGGGGACTCTGGGGCCCGCCGGAACCTCCCGGGCCAGACGGGTAATATTCATCCGTCTGTCCACGGACAATGCAGCACGGAATGTCACAGAGTCTAACTGCAGACCGAGATAAATCATGCGTTGAGCTGGCTGCAGCTTGCTCTTCTCCCTGTTCACCACAAAGCCCAGACGCTGTATGCGGGACAGGACCCAGTGCGTGTGGCTCACGGCCACTTCCCTGGATGAGGCCAGAATTAACCAGTCGTCTATGTAGGTTAAAATTCTTACCCCTGCGCGTCTGAGCGGCTCCAGTGCTGCCTCCACGCATTTGGAAAAAGTCCGAGGCGCGAGTGCATAACCGAAGGGGAGACGGCAGTACTCGTAATTCCTCTCTCCCACTGCGAAGCGCAGAAACCTCCTGTGTTCCGGCACTATGGGCACGTGGAAGTACGCATCTGTCAGGTCTATGGATGACATCCAGTCTCCCTGCCTGACACACTCGAGGAGCTGCTTTGTGGACAGCATCCGAAACTGCCGTTTGGAAATGCACTCGTTCAACACGCGCAGATCCAGAATGGGACGCACCCCGCCTGACTTCTTTGGCACTAAGAAGTAAGGGGAGTACAGCCCCCTGGTGGCGTCCTGCGGGTCTACCTCCACTGCCGCGCCTCGACTCAGCAGAGAGGAGACCTCCGCTTGCAGTGCCTCTATTGATCCCCGTACCTGAGAGCGTACTGCCCGTACGCCTCGGAATGGTGGTGGCTTTCGGAAAAATTGCAGTGCGTAACCCCTGCGCAATGTTTTCTCCAGCCATATACTGTCATCCAAACCCTGCTCCCTCCAGATGCTGTAGAAGTCTGTGAGGGGCGGAACGGGAGCTGGAACACGAGACGTCACGGCCCCGCCCTCTCCTGGTGTTCCTAGCAGGGAGGGGGGGTGGCCGAAAGGGCCGGGGGGCCCCCTGCGTCACACCGTGAGCGCCGGGGGCGGTCACGTGTCCTGCAGGCCCGACGTCATAAGTACGGGACTGCTCACCACATGTGACTCGGCTGCTGTGCCCCCCCCTGGCTCTTGCCTCATGGAGGGGGGGGCGAGCCCCTGGAGTGGGAAACCCCGTGTTAGCCTTGTAGCTCTGCTCACCACACGTGACACGGCTGCTGTGCCCCCCCCTGGCTCTTGCCTCATGGAGGGGGGGACGAGCCCCTGGAGTGGGAAACCCCGTGTTAGCCTTGTAGCTCAGAGATGCTAACACGCGTTCGGCCGACGCACACACATCATTACTCACCAGATCCCTCCGCCTGACCTCTCTCTGGGAGGGCATAGCCTGAACCAGTGAACCGGAGCTCGTAGCTCGCGTAGCGCACTGCACACCCTGCTCTGGGGGCTGCAGGCCTAGCGAAGCAACGTTATGTGCTCGAGAAGTAACACAATCAGATTTCAGATCATTTGACATGTTACATACCCCCAAATGAGACTCAGGCAGCGAGTAATGATGAAATGCCGGTCGGCCTTTATTGAAAGAATTCTTCCCACCCCGACCTCCTCTGCCATAGGGAGGTCGACGGTGGGTGCGTTGGTCCCGCGAGCCTCCCGTGTGCCTGTCTGGGCCCGGGGGCCTCGTCGAGGGGGGACGATAGGCCACGGAGCGTGGATATGGGTCAGGGCGCCTCCCGGGCGAACGCTCCCTGCCTCTGTCTCGGCCCCGCGCGCTGGTGGGCGGGCCTCGCGCCTCGGCGCCAGGTGCTGGGCTAGGCTAGCCGAGTCCTTGGCTGCGGTCTCCAGTCTAGCCACCAGGGTCTGCATGTCCGGACCGAAAAGGGACGTCTGGGAAATAGGCAGGTCCAGCAGCTGCCTCTTCTCCGCCTCTCTGATGTTAGCAAGCCCAAGCCAGAGGTGCCTGACCCCAACTTGAGCTGCTGCCATGGTGCGGCCGCCATCGACAGCTAGCGCCTGGCACATGCGCAGGATCGCCGCTGAAGTGGTCCTCGCCTGAGATAAGGTGTCTCCACTGAGCGCCTGGCCAGAAGAGAGCGACCTATCCAGGGCCCCCGTGATGAAGGCCATGTTATTCGCCACGGCGACGACCTGTGCTGCATTGGCGTAACATCTGTCGTGCATAGCCAAAGACGTCCTGTCCCGCTCGGAGGGAAGGAGAAGTCTGGTGCCGGGCCACACGGATGCGGAGGGGTGCAGGGCCATGCGGACCGAATCCTCGATGTCCGGGACCCCGCCGGTCCAGGACCAGTCCTGCACGTTACAGCACATGCCGTAGCCCAAAGCGGGCCTCTTGGCCGCTAGGGGCTTTGGCCACTCACGTGTCGCGTAATGGACGATTGGGTCCATCCGCGGGCACAACGTGGGCTGTGTCCTCCTCCTCCCTCGAGTGGTGGCGTAACCAGAGGTGAAGTCCTCCACCCTCTGGGTCGGCTGCGGTGGCAGGGGGGCATCCATGATGGCCGCCGCAGTGGAGTAGAGCCCAGGCATGTGGTCCAGTGGGAAGCGGTCCAGCTCCGGGTTCGACACCACCTCGTCCAGCGTGAGGAGAGAGCCGACCTCCGAGATCTCTCCGTCCTCACAGTCACCCCACTCCGCGGGCACGGGTGGAAGGTCGAGTGGGGCCCAGTTAGTCTCAGACTCCTCGTCCTGAGAGGAGTCCGGACGGGGCGCTGCAGCGGCGTGGTACGCACGCCTGCGTTCGCTCTCCTCCCTGGGGAGAGCGAGACACGAGGTGCAGGTGGCGCTCAACGCCGCATGGCACGGGCCCAGTCACATGAAGCAGCTGGAGTGCTGGTCCGTGCGCTGGAGCCTGACTCGACACGTCGAGCAACGACGACGTCCGACGCCGGAGGGCAAAGGGGAACTCGGACGAGCATCAGAAGACATCTTTCTCTGGTAATAATTGAAAACTGTGTAGATCTCAATCGGCGCCAGAGTGAAAGAGGGGGTGCGGCCTTGTGCAGGGGCATTTATAGAGGAAGGTGGCTGGTGATTGAAGCAAATTATTTTGATCTCTCTGGCGTGTGACCTGGGGGTCACGAGTGATATCCCACTAGCGAAGTCCTAAGGGACGTAGCACCATGACGTAGAACTATGAGTTATGGGTCTTACCTTATAGCTATACCTTATAAATGACCTGCACAGTCCACTTCGGTTCAGACCAGTTCCTTGTTTAAATCCAGTTTATGGTTTGAGCGTAGATATGTAATCCTCCATTTGGAAATGAGTCCAATGAGTTTTAAAAAGTAAAAAAAAACGCGTGTGTCCTCCATAAACTCCTGTGTTTTGCTAGCGGCAGCCGAGTGCATCCAATTTCTAAAATCAACCGTCTTACACTTCACCTCTCTTTCTTATCATTCCTATAGTCATTGAAAAATTACCCTATGTGCATTTTAGATTATCTAAAAATGTGTTATATGTATGTTAGCCAAACCTGTTGCTGTCCTTAGCAGATAAACCAGGAAGAGCAAGGAGCTTATCGATGGAATTGTATGCAGCCGACTTCTGCGCTCACATGCGCTACTCTGTTGCTGACCTCACGGTGATACAAGCCGTGGTAGAGTCTGATTAAGACCCATATTTGTTTCAAAAACACAATTTATGAGCCATCCTCTCAACTGTAGACATGTGGATTGTAAAGGAAATATGATTTACATCAGCCAATAATTGCTGAGAGGTTTTCTCATCCTCCCTTCTCTCATGACAACACGTTCATTGTGCGTCTTGAGTAACGCGCCTTAACGGGATGTCGGAAATGATAACGGCGTTATAGTTACTGTCAAAGTAATTAGTTAGATTACTCGTTACTGAAAAAAGTAACGCCGTTACTAGTAACGCCGTTATTCCCATCACTGTTAGTCTCACATTCAAGACACCACAAAAATTGCTCAAATTTGGCAAAATGTATCTTAATTTGAGCATGTTTTGACTGCCTTCAAAACAAGATTTGCCGATGGGACAAGCAACATGATCTTATTTTCAAAAGATACAAGAAATGTCTCTCTTGGAATGAGAAAATAAAGCAACAGTTTTGAAATAAGACTAAAAGACTTGGTAAATCTTGTTTAAGACAGTAAAATTGTGTTCAAATTAAGTTAAAAAAACACTGTATTCAAGCAATAATTACCTCATATTTTATCAAATTACAAATATTGCATGATATATACTATTTTATTCACAATAGTGATGATGCATTGGTTTTAAATAACGCTTTTCAGGACACTCAATGACGCTTCACATTATTCATTATTCTTTCACTCCATACACAAGGGTGATTAACTGTTACTATAGCCACAGCTGCCCTGGGGCACACTGACTGAAGCATTGATGATTGATGATAATGGGCTACTATGGCATGTCAAACATCATCTACCAAGTATCAGCAAAAAAATAAAATAAAAAAAAAGATTCTTGTGACATTTTAACCCAACACGTCACTAGTTAAATATAAAACAATGTATTTCATTTGATATATTTGGTCCAGTTTTGGTTACATCTAAACAATAAACACATTTGGTTTTTTGGGGTTTTTTTTTCAGAAAACCCAACCAGAAAATTACAGTGAAACTCATGTAACATTAAAGTCATGTCAAAAAACTTTCATAACGTAAAACACAATTTTTTTTTAATCGACCCCTGACCAAAATTATTTTGACACCGCTGCTCTATACGTAGAGGTTGGGTAGGGGTTAGCAACATGATAGACAGACCAGCTTATTTTTTCAGTTGTTTGAATATTTCTGGAATACAGAGTTACGCCGTAGAGACCAGCGTATCCTTCACCTTGTCTCTGCCCCGTCACACTCTCTCCACCCGTTTTTTCTATTCAATTCTCCCAAGCCTGCATATGCTCAAGGCTGCAGAGACTCCAGTAGATGGACACAACCTCCCACTTGCACAATCAAGCCGTCATACTCTGATCGCCAATTATGGGATTAGAGCAATGAAATCTTGTGCTTATTTACTCCATCTAGTCCAAACAGTTTGCCTTTCGCTGAGCCCGGTGTATCAGGGAGGTCTTTGAAATGGTCCACTGGCGCTCCTTGTTCCCACTGTTAATTAATTTGATATACTAATTATAGGATCAGCGTAATCACAGCAGTTTATCAACATCAAGCCTACATGGAGTTTGCGGTGTCTCGGGCAAAAGCATGTTTATGGCAAGGTAGAAAGAGCTTTAATGATCGTATCACAATCCTTACAGACCAGCGTAATGAGATGTAATGGGAAGGCATAAATCACCAACTGCTCAGGTATGGGCCGATAGAAAATACTAAGACAAAGTTATCTTACATATATTTTAAAGCCAGCAAAAGTTCTGGCGCACAAAAGCGGGTTCAAGGATAAAGATTAAGTGTTAGACCTGCTCGCAAAGTTATCAAAGTAATTTCTCTGTAATTGACTTGGTATTGACACTGCGGTGGAAAGTGCAGCATTATGTAGCTACACAAGTGTTCGTACCACAACAAAGGAGCTCCAAGTTTAAATCAAATGTTAAAATAATAATGTATGGGTTTTATACAGCGCTTTTTTGGACACTCAAGGACGCTTCACGTGTCATTTTTCTTTCGCTCCAGACACGGTGGGGATAAAGTACTATTGAAGCCACAACTGCCCTAGGGCGCACTGATCCGACGACCACCAACCATTCTCACACAACAGAGTCTTTCTTGGCAATGTGGGTGAAGTGTCTTGCTAAGGACACAACCACAGTTTGGTAATTTATAGCCGCTGCCGCCCCATAGCGTCCAGAGGTCTCCCATCACTTTACTAACCAGACCTGCTCTGCACAGCTCCAGAGGTTTGACGGGATCTGGCTTTCACATGCAAGTATGGCTTTGCCCTTAATTTCTTGTGCTCTACGTCCACTTTTGACAATGCCACCAGTTCATCCAGGCTTCAACGCTCATCTTAGTCACTAAATTGTCCCCTAATATTATATATTGAGTTAGAATGCACTTATCTGTCACCTTTGGAAACACACAATGCTTTTCCTTAGTTTTCTTGTCTGTATTCATTCTTGCTCTATGGGAATTCATTTTCTTTGAAATTTATGTTCAAACTAATAGACTAATATGTAAATAAAAAATGGGGTGGGATTAGATATGTTCTCTTCTTCCCACTTCCCTTCAGACAAACATGTTTTTTGATGTTGTTACAGGTATGTTTTTTTTGGTTAATAACAACTGTGCTGCATTTTTTGTTTTTACCTGAAAGAAACTGTCCCCTGATCACTAATGCATTAGCTGTGGAGATCCTTTTCAGTCCATGCTGAAAAATACTGACGTGCCAGCCTGTGTGGTGGATGGCTAAAACAAAAATGGTAATTTTAAAATATGATAACCAACATACATTTAATACATGTGATTATTTTAGTATATGTAACTTTCCTAGTAGCTTTTGACATTCAACGATATTTATAGATATAAATATTTATACATATACAGTATATATACATTTATGTACACTGGTCATTCAACGGACCAACAGCTCCAGAAAGAGAGAGAGAGAGAGAGGGATAAGAAACACATCTATATCCATTGTAATTAATCAATTTTAAAGGGTAGAACAACAGATACAGTTTATGTTCTCTCTTGTTCTTCTTCAAGTGAAGTAAACCCGTACAGAGAGAAGTTTCATCAGGTTCCATTATATCGTCCATCACCGACCCAATTATATGTGGAGGGGGAAGATGTGTGTGTACCATAAGCCTGTCACACACACACACACACTGCTGCTATGACGTGAATCAGTTCAACTCTGTCATATTGGCTCAGAGTAAAAAGTTTCAACTCTTTTCATATTTGTAGCTCATTTACAGTTCACAGAGAAGACACGAATGGCACAGAAGGATAATGCAGCCGCTCCATAAGAGTAAGAGTTCACAAATGGCCTCGTTAAAGTTTACCGCACACATATCGAGCCGTGAATATTTTCATTTGAGAAACCATTCATTCAAAGTCCTCGGCTGACCAAATCACGACGTTGGCCTTCGAAAGAAAAAATAATAAACATTGTTCTCAAGGTTAGCTCTCTATTGTTCAAAATAATGTACCCGCACTGAAATCTGTGATCAGAAATGTTCATGAGCACTCTTTAAATGTGATTATGAGTGTTTTTACGTGTCCCGTGCAGAGCAGTGTTAGGCTAATGAACTCTGGAGGCAAACGTCTTTACAGATTTTGTAATTATTGAATGGTTGTGTGTTGTTTGTCACTATGTGTTTAGTGTTATATGTACCATTTTGTGTGTCATAATTTAAAGATTAAATAAATAAAACAAATGGAGTAAGTAAGCAAGTTGCGGAATTTACTGAAATCCTGTTTTGAATGTAACTTGGTGTCAAAATTGGCTTGGATGGGTCAGTAAAGCAGTGTATTGTTGTATATATATTTTACTGTATTGTTACCTTTGTGAAGAAAAACTTGTTCCATTTCGTTCCCTTTTTTATCATATGCATCATTTGATCTTTTAAAAATGAACAATGTATTTGATTTGTTTGTGTGGATGGATGTGTTTTTGCTGATACGGGACACCTGAATTTCTCCTACGGGTATCAATAAAGTATCTATGTATATCTCTCTATCTATTTGTTTTTATAAATTGCTCTTGTGACGCACTTTGAATTGCCTTGTACACAAGTTGTGCTATACAGATAAATGATTGATTAATTAAAGCTGGAGTACCTAACTTTGAAACCAAAAACAAACTGTATTCAAATCCATCTATTTAGATCCTAGCTCTCTCTATTCTACTCAAACATGATTTTTTCAGCTGCGACTGAAATAATCCTTTCATGAAACAAAAACTAAGCACCAGATTTAATTTAATTGAATGAATTAATAATAATAATTCTTCTACTAAACCACTTTTCTTTACATCTTCCA